GGGAGGGGGGGGGGGGGGGGGGGGGGGGGGGGGGGGGGGGGGGGGGGGGGGGGGGGGGGGATAGTAGTAGTAGTATGGAGTTGAATGATCTGTTTTTTTTTCTTTTTTTTTTTTTTTTCGCTCCTTTTGGGATAATGGAGACTTGTCTGGCTTGTTTTTTTTTTTCTTCTTGCTTGATATGTTTTCTTTCTTGCTGGCAGTAGCAGGACAACTTCCATTTGCCCAGGATGGCATAGTCAGGGGTTTTTCATTCATATTCATGCCAAGCCTAGTTTTCTACTGTTTTGGGAATGTATTCCATCAGCAATACCTTAGCAACACTCATGATGAGAATCCAGTCGTCTACCTACCTGCCTATCTATCTGTACATTCATACATACATTACACTCAAATCAAATCAAAAGATCATTCATATCATCTCCATGACCCGCAAAATTCCCATTCGTCATGTCGTCTTTTCTCCTACAACCCTCCTTCCCCCCCTCTCCGTTGTTATTGTTTGCTGCTGCTGCAGCTCCCAGTCTTGCCTCCTCGGTCCACCGAGGCTCTTTATACGCTTTGGGGCAAGAAGCGGGAATAATCTGCTCGAGCATCTCCAAGTCAATTGCTTTCTCCTTTTGTCTACTCCATGCAAGGGCGATTTTTAGCACGTTGCCGATTTGTCGACCGTTGATGACCCATTCTCCTAGGGATGTGATGTCTGCGTTGGATGGGAGGTTTATCATTGTGGTGTTGTTGTTGGTGTTGTTGGTGTTGGTGTTGGTGTTGGTGTTGGTGTTAGTGTTGCCGTTGCTGTTGCGGTTGCTGTTGCTGTTGCTGTTGCTGTTACCGTTGCCATTACCGTTACCGTTACCGTTACCGTTGCCGTTGCTGTTGCTGTTGTTGCCGCCGGGATTCTGCTTCTGTAAGAAATTCTGCCAAATTTGCGAGCGAGCATCGTGGTCGAGAACGGGGAATTTCAAGTGAACCTGGATGCGCGATTCAATGGCTTCGTCAATGGTTTGCCACAGGTTGGTAGTGAGGAACATGATGCCTTTGTAGTACTCCAACAGGCGCAGGAAGACTGCAACGAGTTTGTTGCGGTCCAGGGAGTCGACGGATCGTTTCTGGAGGTAGACGTCGGCTTCGTCTAACAGTAAAATGGCATTCCACGCGGCCACGTCGGCCATCTTTTCGCTCAGGGAGGATTCGATCATGTCCACTGCACCCAGGTCGCGAGAATCTACATAGTACAAGGGTCTCTTGGTTTTGTCGGCAATCGCTTCGGCCATCAATGTCTTCCCTGTTCCGGGGCTGCCACTGAGCAGGATGAGCAAGCCTTGTCCCTTTCCTGCAATGACATCCTGCATCAGTGAAGATGAGTGTTCGGCATGATCGTCGACCAGAGCGCAGACCAGACTCTTGTTGCCCTCGGAATGCACCAGGAAGTTGAACGCGTCGTCATTGAGGTCCAGGTCTTGCACACGTTCGATGTTGAACGATTTCCACGCCTTGCTGGCGAGAGAAAATCCGTCCAGGTACGGATCGAGTATCAGCAAGTTCTCGTCGCTCTTCGACACGATTTTCCGATTACGGCTCTGTTCGTCGAGCGTCAGGCGTCTAAAGTCCTGTATCGCTCGACGATCCTCCGTCTCCTTGTCCTCGGCCTCGGTGAAGGAGAAACGGCGACTCAGCAAGTTGACTCGCTGGCGCCGAGCCATTGCCCTCTGGTTCTCCTCTCGGTCTGTGGACCCATGCGTGTAGTATCCCGGCAGGACACTGACTTTCTGCGTCATGCCTCGTCTTCGAGACAGCTGGAAGTCGATCATGATTCTCATATCGCCCTGTGAGGAGTATGCGTCAGCAACCGATCATCATTGCGGGCTGGGATGGCTGCTTCGCCGCACACCTGCTTATCCCATACACTGCCGAGATTGTGCAATGAACCACCCGATCCCGTCCCATATTCGGGTGCGCGACTGAGGTATCGCATGTAGTGGTGGTCTTGAAATTCCAGGACGCGTGTACCACGTTCGATCATTCTCTGCTTCGTGCCCTCCTGATCTTGTAATCGATCCAGCGGAAAGACGGGTAGAGACGTGATGTCTCGCTCATCAGTGAAGTATGGAATCTCCAATGACTTGCGCACAGTTCCATAGCAGACTCCTGGTTGCTTGATCAGCTGGGGAATGGAGGTGTATATTCTGTGTATATCGTACCATCGAAGCGAATGTATTCGCATGAGACCGAAAAAGCACGCGTCCCTCCATCTCCGTCAAACGCAGAGGTCGCTCGGTAGCCTTGATAGATGTGTTCTCCTTCGGGAGTGCGCTGCAAGACCAGAGTGCCCGCGGGGAAGAGGGTCCAGAGAAGAGGGTAGGTGATTTGATTCTGGGCATCGAGTCGTTCGGTTTCCTCGATCGTCTTGCCCAGCTCATCCCTCATCAGATTCAGCAGAACTGCGAGATGTTCCTTGGTTTGGGGCTCGGCCTCCTCGTACAGCTCTTGGATCTTATGCCGTTCGTAATACAGACACTGCAGAGGAGCGGGTATATTGATCATATTTTCGCTCTCGCTGAACGAGATGCCATGTGGCTCCAAGAGAGGCTCTAGAATAAGGCGCAGGGGAGGCGAGAGGATGCGAATATGAGCACGGCTGAAACTTTGTGCCCGTGATGGATCGCCCCAATTGTCGCAAGTCATGTACTCCTGGATCGCATACCCTTCCCATTTGGTGCGCTTCTGCTGTGGAAAAGCCGGAGGTGCCCACTCGACCCATTTGGGTCCATTGTCGGTATCGACCAGATTCTCATAGAACGTCTTCAGTTCGGCTTTCTTGCCATACAGTTCATCCTTTTTCTTGCGAGTGACCTGGAAGCGAACCATTGAGGCGAAGAGCTTCCCGTTTAAGCTCGGAGGCAAGCAGGAGAAGACGAAGAGTGAAGGTGTTATTCTCGCAATCGGCTTTCACCAGTTGAACATGAGCAGGCCCGTCCGTCCAGCCATGAAGTACGGTAGAGTAAGGTAGATTCCAGTAGATCATGCTGAGCTGAGGCTGATCCGCATATAGACATCACATATCTGCACGTGCCTCATCCTGCGACGCTAGAAATGGTGGCTGTCCGCCCTCCTGCACGCGCGCTTATGGCAATGTATATTGAACGCCTCATTGCCTTTTTTTGTTTTTCGACGCAATTTCTCGATACTGTAGCTGATCTGCGCAATGGAAGCGAGGAGGATGCCGGGTAGAGGAGGGTCAATGTAATACTATGTGCTGCACCATGCCTTTTCTCGCACTTGGTATCAGCCCATTAAACCGTAGCCGATGTGCCAGGGGTGCGCTTCGCGAGAGTGTCCCGCTTCCTCCATCGATCCTTGAGCGCATACACCCACTCGTCGCCAATGACCCACAACCAGGCGAGCGACAATGTCATGAAAACGACGGCAACGATGATGATGGACACAATCGCAAACCAGCGGCACGTTTCCCCAAAGCCTTTCCAGTTCGTCGGCTGGACTTGTTCCACAGCCAACGCCACTTGCATCCCGTTCAACACGGTGGTGATGATGGCGAATGCGAACAAGACGGGGCCAAAGAACCTCCCAAAGTAATCGCTGTACTCCCAGTGTGTACGCTGAAACGAGAACTTCTGGAACAGCAGGCAGGCATAGAAGTTCAGCCGAGACAGTCGCAGTTCGCCGTAGCAATACCGGGAGCACACGTCTGCATCGAGCACATTTGCGAACTCGGATATGAAGTGGCAGTACTGTGGCCACGAGATGTCAGGTGGCAGCAGGCGTGCATCGTTCCTCGTAGCAATACTGAAATCCGACTCGTGCTTGATCAGGTAGCGATATGTGCGCATAAAGCCGAGCGCAGACCTTCGGATGCGCTCCGTCGTAGTGCTGCTTCCCAGCTTGGTAGCCTTGTCGGAGAGGAAGAGAGTCCAGAAGGTGTGCGAGAGGAGGTAGCGAGGGAGAGGCTTGATGAGCATGCGATCGTGACTCCACACCAGATGTAATTTGGGGTCTTCGGTGATTTCGATGCGTCTTCCGTTAACAATTTGGCCATGGAGCGCGTGAATATTGGCACTCGACTGTGTGGTCATGATCCAGAGTCGGGGAGCGGCAGCCTCGAGTTCGTCCGAAACGAGATCGGTATACAGAAAGTCGCGACATTGATCGGGCTTCTGGAGGTCTAGCCATGGGATTCCAGGCAAAGGAAAGGGTTTCATGTCATCGAACAGATCCAGATCCGCACAGAGTTGCTTGTCTCTGTCAAAGGGCGGTATTTTGACCATTTTTCTTTTCTTTTATTTTATTTTAAAAACAGAAAAGAAACAGTAGGACATGTCAGTTGGTATACTCTGTTCACGGTCCTCGCGAGATGTCATGAATGAATAACAAACAACGTCCGAACCGAAGCGAGACATGGCCACGATGCCTTTCGGTGGTACAGGATGGATGGATGGATGGATATAATGCGTGTGGGTGTGTGTGTGGGTATGTGTAAGTATTGGGTGATCATCCTTGACATCCTTGCCTATGGTGGCGCCAAGTGTTTCCGAGGGATGAATCCTTCTCTCATCCTTCTGACTTCTCTCATCCTTCCTGTCGTCCTTCTTTTTTCAGCTCATCACCACCCACCCACCACCCATTATTCACCATGCCTCCAAATACTTGTTGTCAACACGCACCACAATGGCCCACCACGGCAGTACGGGCCTCACCATTCTTCTGGATCGAGTCCAAGCAACCATCGAGTACACCTCACTCACTCTCCCACTCTCTCTCTCTATCAGAATGATAGACGTCCTTGAAATGAGCTCACTGTTGGCCCAGCATCGTTGCCATTCATGGAATTGGCATGCAACCCGACGAGGCCTGGACGGCCACGGCCACGGCAGGCGACCAAGACTCGGTCAACTGGCTGGTGGACGGCACAATGCTGCCGAAACTCGTCCCCGATGCTCGAATTATGCGATACGACTATGAATCGTCGTGGTTTGGAGCGGAAGCGAGCCACCACAGAGTGACGGCACTGTCGAAACGCTTTCTTCTGGCCTTGAAACGTAAACGCAAGGTCTTGTTGTTCTCCGCGCTTCCGCGTTTCACAAACAATACCATAGTCGTTGCTGACTACCGACAAGACATATCCCACACGGCCCATCATCTTCATTGCTCATTGCTTTGGAGGCTTGGTCATCGTCAAGGTCAGTCTGTCATCATGATGTCTCAAGTAACGAGCAGCAACTCTGATGGAAACATCACACATCACCGTAGGCCCTTCTCGATGCCATTGATGACAAAAAGTCATGGCCCAACATCTGGGAATCTACTGTAGGAATCGTCTTTCTCGGCACTCCCTTTCGAGGAGCCGATGGCATCAATCAGCATCAAATGCTCGAGGCTGCTTGTTTTGGAAATCCCTATAATAGGATGCAGAAGGAATCTTCCAAGATCTACGAAATCGGCAACGAGTTCTTACAACACCTCGTGGACCGCTTTACCACGGTCAACACGAGTATCGACACTCGTTGCTTCTGGGAACTAAAATCGACTACCATCACTCCTGGAACCCAGCAGCTCCCAGTCAGTTGACGTCTATGTAGTGCACGTCGCACATTCGGCTCGTGCAGACACTGATTTGGTATGTAGCACACTTTTGTGGTCAGTGAAGCATCAGGATGCCTCGATACCACCACGAACACGGGCAAGTACTCGCTCAATCGCGACCACTTCAACATGACGAAATTCGCCGATGCTTCGGACGAGGACTTCTTGACGTTAGGCGACATTATTGCAGAAATGGCCGACAAAGCTCACATGATGACGTTCAAGAAAGGCTTGGGTATGTAGGCGTTCCCAGCACAACCTACTTGGCCTGAAACGAGCCTGACTGGAAGCAATATAGATATTCGCCTGTCCTTTGGTGCAGATGCAGGAAATAGCACGAGTCTCGAAGCACGATCGGACGCCATGCAGAGTTATCTTCAGTCCCTCGGATCGTGTAACAATTGCGCGGAGAACATCATGGAGGCCAGCGTTCAGACTCTCGGTTGGATCTGGGAAGATCCAGACATTGCCACATGGCTGAAAGATGGCACCAGTCAACTATGGGTCACAGGAAAGCCTGGATCGGGAAAGTCGGTCATGATGAAAGAGCTCTTCCTCACGCTGCAACGACGCTCCTCCAACACGGGCGAGAACCTCATTACGGTGTGCCATTTCTTCAACAACTGTGGCAAGCCTACCGAAAAGTCATTCATCGGAATGCTGCAATGCTTTCTATATCAGATTCTGGAGCAAGCTCCCGATGTGCTGCCCTTGGTGGCAATGGAGCTTCGTATATCGGTCTCCCGACAGCGCAACTTGGATGGCACGTGGTCGCAGCGTAGTCTCCAGGCAGCGATGGAAAAAATCATCAGCTACGGGCTCAATGGACGACGGCTGTTCTTGTTCACCGACGGCCTTGACGAGTGTGACAAAACAACCAACTTTCTATACAATTTCTTCCACGACTTACTGGAACTACGTTTGGCTACTGGGGGTCATATACACGTCTGCTGTGCTACCAGATTTCTGGCCAATGACTCGATCGCATCTCAAATGCGATGCATACCGATGCATGAGCGCAATGCGAGTGATATCATCAACTATATCGCGAAAGAGTGGGCAGTGGAAATTGCGGACGATGAAGAGCTCGCAGATATCAGAGACCAAATTATCAGCCGTGCTGATGGTGTTTTCTTGTGGGTATGTATGAGACTCCTCCATTGGTGCCTTTATAATAGAACCAAGCTCATGCATCTTCAGGTGCAGATCGTCCTGGAGAGGCTGAGTCAAGGCCTTCGCGATGGCAACAATGTCTTTGAGCTCAGCGAGAGCCTGCAGAGCATTCCCGGCCAGCTCAGTGATCTGTATGACACGATGCTAAAAGGCATCCGTGACGACTATACGGACGAAATGCTTGCGATTCTCTCCATTGTCTTGTGTGCGAGCCGCCCACTGACTCTGCTGGAATTTCGATACATCTTGGCTCTCTGCAACCACAGCTTCCACGACCAAGAAGCAGTCGAAAATGGCAACACGTTTATCAAGACAGACGACATACTGATGAGACGTTTGCGTAGTCGTTGCGGAGGCCTGGCTGATGTCTGTTCGCCCGTCGAAACGATGACCGTGTCCAAAGTGATTCAATTCATGCATCAGTCCGTCAAAGACCATTTGCTTTCGCATGATAGGGTGCCAGGCTCGAAACTTCCACGGCCGGAGGACCTGTTCGAACTCGGCCATCGACTTTTGACGATTGCAAGCCTCAACTACCTCATGTTGCAAGATCTCGAAGGTGTTCCGAGCCACCTGAGCTCGTCACTGAACCTGGATCATCACGAAGAACTGCAAGAGCTTGCCGAGCAATACCCCCTACTGGAGTATTGCTCGAACAATTGGACGCATCACTACCACGAATCCGAGCATACGGGCACTCCTCAGTGGCAAGCACTCGAGAAGTTCTGCGACCTTAACGCTTCGGCTTGGTCCACATGGTGCACGGTGAGGAACTGGCAACTGCACCGGCAGAAGTATGCAGATTATCACTTCCTCACGATTGCAGGGGATATCAACATCGAGGTATTGATCGAGGTCATGCGCGAAACCGAACCATCGGTCTTGGAGATCGCGGTGCAACACGATTTTCTACATTTTGTGCGACGTCAGCTCGAGGCGGGCGATACGGTCAACGATGAAGCGCTAATGCAACTGGCCGCGATGAAAGGTCATGCCGCGATGGTGGAGCTGCTGATCGAGCATGGGGCGTCTCTGTTCCCCCGAGAGGGAATCACTCCCTTGGTCATCGCTTGTATGATGGGGCACACCAAAGTGGCCAAGAAGCTGCTCGAATGCGGCGCCGCGAGAGATCCGTTGGAGCTATACCAGCCTATCGCGGTGGCAGCAGGTCTGGGAAACGCCGATATGATCGAACTTCTGTACCAGCACGATCCAGAGACGTTCATGAATGGTGCTACTCGCCACTATGCACTGGGTCAGATCCTGATCAAGAACATTATGCGAATGATCTTTGCATACGGTGGGGACATGGGCGAATTGGACGAGGCGCATTTCGATGAGCTCTCGTTGAGCGAGAAACGACAGAGCACGGAGACGGCGATTGGTCTCCTGACGACGGATGGGATCAACTCGGAGCACTTTGGCCGTACCTTTCCGTGGCTGCTGTGGTTTCTGACCGCGGGCAGAGAAAGTATCGTCGAAATGCTGCTCGAGAGAGACGTGGATTTCTCCGTTACTGGCGCCGACGGCAGCACATTCTTCCTGATCGCGGCCTTTGCCAGCACGGGACAGGCCCTGCAGACACTGTTCAAACACGACCCGCAGCTTGCGTTTGCCGTCTCAGCCATGCACAGCACGACCCTCCACGCTGCCGCTGCCAATGCAGACATTAGACCTCTCCAGTTCCTGCTCGCAGAGGTTCCGAGTCTCGACATCAACGCACAGAATGACTACCAGGAGACACCGCTTCACATCGCCGCCAAACATGGCTTGGACGCACACATTGCTGCGGTGGTCAATTCCGGGGCGGATGTCATGCTCCTCGATAACATGCAGCGCTACCCCCTCCACTTGGCCGTGGGGAACAGTAACATCACCAACATACGAGGTGTCTTCGACTCTCTGTGCCCGTCGGCGGAAATGCTGGACTCCCGGTCGCACATGGGAGCCACGCCACTACACCTTGCCGCGCGATTTGGCACACACATCGGAGTGCAATGGCTCATCGACGCCGGGGCGAACATTGAGGCCTGTGACGCGAATGGCCAGACAATGTTACATGCCGCGGCGGCGAATGAAAAGGACGTGTCGGGAACAATCATCGAAATCCTCATCTGCAACGGACACGAAACCATCGTCACCGACGATTCCGACGCGACACCTTTACATAGTGTTCTCATGCCCGACAGCCTCTTTCCGTCCTCCTCCACCCTTCTTCGACCCATTTTCTCCGAGTTTGACGAGGCCAAAGCTCTGAAGATGCGAGACCGGTTTGCATCATTGACGGCGACGACGTCAACAGCAACAACGATATCTTCCTCGCTCGGCGCCCAGAACCGCATTCGGCTCCTCGTCTCCCACGGCGTAAACATCAACAGTCAGGACAGTGGTGGAAGTACCCTACTGCACTTTGCATGTGGGGGAAAGTCTGGAATGGGAGTAGATTTGGTGCGATATCTGATTGAAGATTGTGGCGCAGATGCCAGCATTCGCGATGATCGAGGATGTAGACCGTTGGATTTGGCGAGAGATGATGCAGTTCGAGCATTTCTTGAAGCGCGAGAGTGATATTTCTTTTTCTCATTTTACCTACCTAAATGTATTGAATATCCAGTAAGGTCAGGTAGTGAGTGAGTTGACTTTCCATCCTATAGGTACAGGTGTGTATTTTGTATGGTTTTCCCTCCCGATTCCTCACACCTACCTGAACACTCGGAGCCCTGATTGCGATGACAAGAATAGAAAAAGAGTAGGCGAGTTTTGCCTTGGCTTGAGAATCCTTCTCTACCTGGATCCTTTGCATATATATATAAAGAGGTTATAAGGTACCTACCTAGTCCCGATTCTCTCCCTTCCTTTTCTCTCCATCTCTTCAGCTTTGTGTCGCAGTAGTCACGAGACCCACTTTTTGGACGACGAAGAAGACGTTATGGTATGAGATATTTCTCCCTCTCTCTCCCTCCCACTCACATCAGGTTTGAATACTACACTACAGTAGGTGGCTGATATAATCAATATGATCCTCTATGCCCAGGTCCGACCTATCACAACTCAAGATACCGGCCTTAGAGTTCTCGTGGATGGAAAAGACGATGAAGGGAATGAAGCTTTGATTGAGTAGATCTTTTATCCTTTCTTCCTTCCCTTCCTTCCTTCCTTCTCAAACAAAGCATTTCCCACTAACCCAACAAAGCATCATAGCCATCCACGGAATCGGAGCCCATCCCTCGGACGCCTGGACCAAAAAAATCATCATCAGCTCATCCTCCATCATTCCCGACCACCACCCCGACCACCACCCCAACCAACCTCCCTCAGAGAAAGAAGAGAAAGAGAAAGAAGAAGAAAAATGGATAAATTGGCTATCCGATCACAAAATGTTACCCCAAACACTTCCTCGAGCGAGAATTTTGCAATATGGTTATCAATCGGCGTGGTTTGGAACGGAGGCGATTCAGACGAGGACGACGAATATTGCGGAGAGGTTTGGGATTGCGGTGGGGAGGGAGAGGAAGGTATGATTTCTTTTTTTTTAATTCTTTTTTTGGAGAGGGTTAATGGAAGTGATGTTTTAGAAATGTCCAGAGAGACCATTAATCATCATCGCACAATGTTTTGGTGGTTTGGTCGTTCTCAAGGCTATCCTGAAAGCCAACGAATCCTTTGGTAGAAATCACCACCACAACAGCAGCAACAGCGGCAATTTACTATCTTCCCTCGCCGGCATCCTCTTCTTCGGAACGCCTTTTCGCGGCGCACGAGGCATGTCCCAAGTAGAATTACTCGCTGCTGCTCGGGAAGAATATACCGATTCCGAAATCTATCCCGAGATTTTACAAGTGTTGCAACCGGGAAATGAATATCTTCAAGATTTGGTGGATCAATTTACGAGACTTCGGTCGACTTTGCCGGAATTGCGAGATTGTCGGATTGCGTGTTTTTTTGAGTTGAAGGCGAGTAATGTGGGGAGGATTGTTGGGGGGAGGGAGAGGAGGGATCGGATGGTATGTTTTTTCTTTTTTTTTCTTTCTTTTTTTTATAAATGACCTTGCTTTGGCTTACACTGGAATAGGAGTTTGTCGTCGACGAGAGCTCGGGATGCTTGGATCGATCGGAAGGGACGGAAAAGTATTCGCGGGATTGTTCACATTTTGATATGAATAAATTTGGAGATGCGAATGAAGAAGATTATTTGACAGTGGCGGATGTATTGATGGATTTTGCGAGGAGGAACTAGAGGAGATAAGGTAGTGTGGAGGTGGAGGTGGAGATGGAAATATCCGAGCCGAGGCAGTTGATAGCTAAGCGCCAATCAGATAAACGCCCGCTCCCGCGATTAGAGATTCTAGGCGCCCCGCCCCCGACTCCCAATCTCTGGATCCTCTCGCCGATCAAACACATTTTAGGTGCATCTTGCATAGGAGAGGGACAATTGGCAGTAAAGGAAGAAGCAAAAAAGTATGGCACGGCTTCTTCCATTTGTTTATTGTTTTGATTCGTCTCACTCGAGCCTCGGTCTCGCTGTCTAAGGTATCATTTCTCTTTAAAAAGAAACCAACTCCCTATACTACTCCCTTTCCTATCCATTTTTTGAAACACACACACCCACATACATCCCGTCCAACAGCCAACACCCACCTACTACACCTTCCCACCACCACTCCTCCTCCAAAGAGAAAAAAGAAAAAGAAAAAAATGGCCGCCCCCCCTTCCATCACCATCCACTCCCTCTCCGGCGCCTACGACCTCAACAAAACCCTCTCCGACAGCACCGGCGCCATGCTCAAAATGCAAAACATTGGTTTTCTCGTCCGTCAAGCCGCCAATTACAGTGCCATTACCGTCCATCTTTCCCAATACCCTTTTCCGGAAGATGCGAATGTGGTGCAGGTGGATCAAGAACAAATATCGACGGGAAATATGAAACAGTATGAACCGAGAATTCTGGATGGGGAGGTGAGGGAGAGGGAAATTCAGTATTGGGGGAAGGTTAGGGGGTGGAATAAGTATGTTTTTTCTTCCTTTTCTTTCTGCTTCTCTCTCTCTATACCTTTTGTTACTAATTCCATTCTTTCAATAGATATGTCAAACTCTCCGAAATCACTCAAGACGCCTGGTTAACCGAAGGCTGGGATCCCGAATGTTCAAGCGAACAAGGACAAGTCCTATTGAGTTTTACAGAAAGTGTGGGGAATGGGTGGATGGCGTGTCAAGTTTGGGGGTTTGCGACTGTTGATGGAGTGAGAAGGCATGTGAGGAGGATTTATTCGAAAAAGGGAAAGGAGGAACATCGCGTGAGGTTGGTTTATGATTATAAGGGGGATGTGCCTGCTGCTACTTCTTAGGAGGTGTGAAGGTAGGAGAAGGTGGAAGGGGCTGGATGAGAGGTATATAAGGTAGTCATGTGATATGATTCTGATGTAGCAAGGTTTGGTAGTGAATTGAATTGAATTGAATTGAATTGAATTGAATTGAATTGAATTGAATTGAATTGAATTGAATTGAATTGAATTGAATTGAATTGAATTGTACAGTATACTAGGTACCTAGGGAGGAAGGGAGGTACAGGTACTTACTGCTGTTACAGGTCAGATCTATACAAAATTCGGATACAATCTGTTCACTAGGTAAGGTAGCGACCGGTTAAGCAAGCCCGCCGGAAACCATCTCCATTTTTTAACATCCTTTTTCTCTTTTTCTTTTGTAGAAACTGCTTCTTTCTGCACAATGGATAGATTTAAGAAAAACATGTAAGTTTATGGAAATTCTACATCGAACTGTACACCGCTAGTCAATAAACAAATCTATGCAATAGAACATGCCTGGCGAGTAGCTACATACCTAACTCAACCTAGGAGGTAATGAATTTAGGGGTCGTGATTGGTTACGGGGTATCGGAAACTAAAGAAATGGCGCAGAATTGGAGAGGTGCCGACATTTTTTGTGTGATTCTGTGTGATTGTGATTGTGATTGTAACGTGTGGTGGTGTGTGTGTGTGTGATTGTATGTATACCTTAGGTATTTTTGAATTTGAATTTGATTTTTTTCAATTCTATGATTTGTTTTCATGACACTCTAAGTAAGGAAGACAGACTAGGTACCTAGCCACTCACTCGCTATATCAGGTAAGGTAGATACAATTCAGTCTTCTTTTCTAATCTGTACCAACCAACCAACCTCAATCTCAATCTCTCCCATCCCTCCAACTTTCTTCGCCTTGAAAGACTCTCAATTCCCTCCTACCCTCTTTTTCTCCTCCCCCTCCTCCCCATCAGCCGGAATCCACCTCCTCAACACTTGCTCTACATACTCCCTCGGCAAACCCTCTTGTACCGCATCCTTGATCCCACAATTCATACGAGAAATATATTCTTTTCGAATTTCTCCCTCGTCTGTCATTTCTCGATTGATGTATACCAACATCTTTTCCTTTCCGGGCCGTTTGGTGATGTCCGCTGGTTTTCTTTTCTTCTTCTCCTCATCGAGAGTCGAACCATCCTCATTCTTGCCAAATTCTTCTTCTTCCTCTCGCGACGACGACGACGACGACGACGACGACGATGCAGCAGCTTCAGGCACCGTCCAAAATTCACACTCAATCCACTCCTTCCGATACGCCACCGGAACACCTTCCCTCTCATCCAAAAGTTTCTCATCCTCTTCTTCCAAACTATACATCATTCCCCACACTTGATTCCTATAATCCCCCTCTTTCCCCTTCTCCTCTTTCTCATCATCACCCTCCTTGCGGCTATCAACCTCCACAATATTCGCAAACCCCCTCTGATAAATAATCCATTCAAAACCCTTCAATCTCACAATTCCCAAAAATTTACTCGAGGGACAACGTTGATGCATTTGGTGTTGCCAGAGATTACTTCCGTAGGCGAAGTAGATGGTTTTTTTCTTCATCTTGTTCTTCTTGTCCTTTGTATTGGATTGGGAGGAAATTGCGATATTGTTGTTGTTGTTGTTGCTGCTGCTTCTTCTTCCGGGATGCCTACAGAGTTCGTAGTACAGCTCCTCCTGAGAATCGGAGGCGTGGGAGGAGGAAGTCAAGTGGATGGTGAGGGAAGCGGAGGAGGAGATGGTGGTGTTGTCGTCCATGATGGGTGGGGTGGATAGGGTGTATTTGTATTAGCAGTCGAATGAAATGTCTCTAATCCCGGTCTGTCTGACTTATATTCTGATGAGAAAGGTCTGAGACTTTTGCATATAGAGAAGTCGATACATACATGTACCTCCTACATACATGCGTATCCGAGGAGTCTCTGACGTGCCTCCGAGAGACAAAGTGGAGTAGAGCGAAAGTCTAAAATCACGCTAAATACTAGGTATATTGGTGGAAGAACCAGCGGGGAATGGGAAGTTGATATAATAGGAAGTACTGTAGACAAAAGTACAGTAGGACAAAAACGAACTTCATCAGGTATGAGCAGAATGTTCCCATTGGGATCGCATAGAAGCCATTATGTCATGCATGCAATAGTCCGCGATGCTGCGTCTCGATGCTATGTATGCAGCTCCATTCTCGAAGCATTTTTCGTGACATCGTGAGGAAGAGTAGGACCTCGCTCCGCTATTATACTAGAAGTCTGCCTCCCTCCTGTACCCTACCGGTCCATGTTGGCCGCCATGAAAGCGCACCCAGACCGGCTGCGAGAAAACACACGTCTCGCTAACCCATTTTGCGCCCTGTAACCATGTCCCCGTCCATCCGAAGTCCAACGCCATGCAGTGATTCCCAGAAGGGGAAAACAGAAAGAAAGAAAGGGAGAAAAAGGAGAAGAAAAGAAAAGAAAAGAAAACAGAACAAAACTGTCTGTGACACCTCTCCATCGTATCCTCAATTCTAGCGAATCATCGGGTATCTTCGAAATGCATGGTGCCGCACAAAGCCATCAATCGTTGCCCCCGGTCTGTAAAAGTGCGCTCATCCTAGGAGCCATCCAGTTCTGGGACTCCTTGCGCACCAGCAGCAGCTTCACCACTCAACGTGGACTGGCCTGCGGTGGCCGAAGCAGAAATTTCGTCTTCATTGTCCATCTCGCCCTTGACCACATCGACACCCGTCTCGCGACACAGCGGGCACGAGTTCCGACCCGTCGTCAGCCACTGGTCAATACACTCCTTGTGAAACAAATGGTTGCACTTGACCAGTTTGCGTGCAACGTCCTTGAGTTCGAAATCACACAAGCAAACCAGGCAGCGCTGGTCGGCATCGAGCATGACCTGCTCACCACCTTCGACAGCCGTAGCAACCAGCTGTGCCGTCTTGGCAGCATCTTCCGGCATGCCGGCAGTCTCGATGTTGTAGACGCCTCCAGCGCTCTGGACATCGTCCTCGGTCGCAACGGGCGCCTTGGCGGGTCCGAGCAGGGCAGAGAGCAGCATCATGTCCTCGTAGGTGGGGTTTTCCGTGAAGAGACTAGGTGTGGTGAGAATGGGGTGATTTTCTGGGTAGGAGCCGCCGAGGACGTAGATGATCCAGCTGCGAGAGTCGCTATTACTGTGACGGTGTTCATTGGTCCCATCAGAGCCACCAGTGGATGTACGCGAGAGGGATGGCATGTTGTCCGGCTCGACGACCCCATTGCGGCGGGGATGGCCAGAGGCGAACCGAGGGTAGTGTATGTTCGGTGCTGTGTCTGATCGACGATGGATCCGATATGGCTCGGAATCGCCTAGGAGACCTGTGCCAGAGTGTGTCGAGCGTATCGAAGAGGTCTCTTCGGTGTGGGAGCTGAGCGGGCTCGCAACGGATCTGTGCAAAGTGCTGTTTCGCCGAGAAGACATTTCGAAATCTCGCATGCTATTGGCCACGAGTGAGGTTGGTCTTGATCGACTGGGAGTGCTGTTTCTGCTGGACATGCGGCTGAGCTCTGGAGTGGCGCTTGCAGGGGTGACTGGCGGTGGTCTCGGTTCCAGGTTATTTGAACTCGAGCTTGCGACACTCCACGGCCGTTGTCTTCTCCTCTCGAGTCTGTCGGGGGAGCGGTGATCTCGCTGATCGTCCATTCTGTCACTCAATCTACTCCTACCCATGCCAAAGCCACCCATACTGGCTCTTCTTCGGTGCCTGAAGGATGTGCCATTTTGCGGCGGCCGTAGTATTGAGTCAATGCTGTCGTGGCCGTGTGTGCCGAGCGCGTGTGCTGGTAGAGGCGATGGAAAGTTGCCGAGCGCATCGATGAATGGAGGCAGATCCTCGCTCGGCGAGCCGGTGCCTGAGCTGGAGTTGGGAGAGATCGACCGAATACCTACTATGATGATTGGCACCATCCGTCCTTCACTCTCCCCAGGCTGTCCGTTGGCGCCCACCATTGGTTCTGCAGGCTCGGATGCACCGAACCGGAACATACGGAAGAAGTTGAGAGGTGCTCCAGGAGTACCTGACTCTCCGTCACCCTCTCCGCTACCCTGTCGCAATGCAGACGCTATTCGGCCATTCTGTAGAGCGCGCAGGAAGCCGTCGAAGCTGCCATCTTCCCCGTTGCCACCTAGATCGCCCAACCCAGTGCTTCCCGTCAAGCTTCTTGCCTCGCGCAGTGCATTGTGGTCATCGCCCATGAGTGTTGCCGCCGTAGCTGCAGCCGCCACACTCAGCAGCCTGCTGAGCATCGCCGCCTGATCTTCGCTCCGGCCTGGCCGCATGCCTGACACGGACGAGGGGGGTCCGGGTGATCGGCGTCGTCGGAGTGAGGAGGTGAACTGTCGTAGCGGTCGGTCCGGTCGAAAGTGTAAGCGTCGACCAGGAACACGATTCCACGACGCCTCGCTTCTGCTGCTCGACGGCACCGGCTCGACATGTGGTTCGAACGTCGCATCATCTTCGAAGGTCATAGAAGTGTCTATGGAAGGCAGCCGGGGCGGCTCAAAGAAATCGTTAGGCTCGTCGTGGTGGCTGTCGTGATGGCTGTCATGAGCAACGCTTCGTGTGTACTGCGCTCGGTGGAAAGTCTGTGAGAAGAAGTCGCGCGGAGCAGCGCTGCTGTTCCGATGTAGCATTTCATGGAAACGCGAACGAGTCCGTCGTGCTAGAGTCCCACTTCGACTGGGCACATGGATGGCCGAGTCAGCTGGCAGCGGCGATTGCATGCTCTCGGCGGAGTCGTCGTCGCCAGAGCGCAACAACTGAGAAAGGCGGTTGGTATCCGCTCGCCGCCGCCGTCGCCGGGATATGTTCTGAAGTAGACCGTCATGGTCGACCGACTCTTCTGCGGTGCTCCGCTGGGCACTGGCGGTGGAGGTCGTCGTCTGCTCAGCGGATTGTCGTGAGGCTCCTTGGCCCATCTCAGCTCTCGGATGCTGTCTGCGTCCTCGTCACTCGCCCATTCCTTCGTACCCGACGCCAGTCCTCGGTGACAACCAGCAGATGCGCTCGACAGTGAGAGAGAGACGGCGAGGGGTGATGGCGGGGGGTTGCAGAGGATGCGTGTTCGGAGTGGTGTCGGTGTAGGTGACGGTAGTGGTGGTGGTGGGTGGTGTGAAGTGCGGTGTTTGATGTGTCTGAGTGGCCAGCTGATCAGCGAGCATGTACCTATGGACTAGACTAATGTGAATGGCGGCGATGAAGCGGCAGTGATCGATGATTGGTGCTTCTGGGTCGTATGAAACCGCTGGATGTGGCGGCTCAACACCCCTGCACTGGCACGTGTATATACGTTGATAATAACGAAGAAAAGGCCTAGATTCTTCCTTGAATCTTTCTTACCACTTTCACCGTAGGTTCATAAGAGAGAGAGAGAGAGAGAAGAGGAGAGAGAGAGACAGACTACGGTATTGACCGACTGTCGCACGCTGTCACTGCAGTGACTTTCGCCTCTGAAACTTGGCGTCACCACTCCGCCGCATCCTGCCCTCTGCCCTCCTGGAGTGCTCCACGGGCAGCTCTGCGACGGCGCGGCCACACTGCCCACGGCAACTCGTCGTCATTGTCTGAGACGAGCGTGACGGCAGGGTGCTTCCTGGTTCTGAGTGTCGGCTTACGCGCCCGAACTGCTCGTTGACATGTGTACATTGCCGAGCGGATAGCCGCCAGACCCGAAGGTGTGAAGCACAAGATACATAATGGCGTCTTTCGCGCCTGTCTACAGGTTGTCCAACTCGCAGCGCTCAATCCTCTCACGCGAGCGACAGCGTGGGCGCAAACGCAAGCGAGGCCAAGATGCTGACCATGACGACGACGACGATGATGATGAAAAAAGCGAAGCAGAAGCAGAAGATGGCAGTCCGAAATCAGACGACGAGCAGCCTGACAAGGCGGAACAACCGCCACGCGTGCTGCACCCGGTCAACCAAAAGGATCCTTACAATGTAGCTGGTTGGTCACGAGAGATACCTCTCCCAGGAAGGAATTTTCCTCACGCGGCTTTTTCGGAGACCGTTGTGGAGAAACGGAACGTCGAGGAAGACTTGGCTCAGCTGAACCCTCCCATCTACCTACTAAAGAAGAGCCCGGACGACCCTGCTGGATCCTTGAGAGGTCGACATCTCGACAATTTGACTGCGATCCTGCATCGATGCATGCTCCGACAGGACTGGAAGCGCGCTACGCGAGCGTGGGGATTGATTCTTCGCACCGAGATTGCTGGAGATGGCCCAGACATCAGAAAGCATGGCCGATGGATGATCGGAGCGGAATTGCTGATGCGAAAGGAGCAAACATACGAGAACAGTGTAGCAGGCTCCGACGACAGTGAGTCACATCGATCAGTAGTGATCCCGGACAGCAACTTTCAGCTCGCGCGAGAGTACTACGGGCGACTGGTACTACAACATCCACAACTCCAAGGAACCCACTACTCCAGAATCAGCGCGTGGGCTATACATCCAACACTGCTCAATATATGGATCTTCGAGGTGCAAGAACGATCGAGGCGGGCTCGGCAACAGCTCGTGGCATCTTTAGACTCCATGGAAGCTGCTGAATACAGTGACGTGCACAGTGAGCGCAGTGACAACTCAGAGCATCAGCAGGCGCTGTGTCAAATCCGCTCTCGTGAGCTCCAGGAAGCATCGCCAATCGTGCAAAAATTAGAAGAATTGCTCTCGAACCCTCCATACGACACTAGCGCAGAATTGTTGGAGCTGAGGGGCATGGTCAGCTTATGGCTTGCAGATCTGCACAAGGCGCTGGCTAGGATGAAGGACGATAGCCACGTGGAGAAGGAGGACGAGGACGACGAACCAGGCGAGTCTCAACCTTTCCAGATTCGGCACCAAATGCAAGCTCAGATGGAGCACGCCAAAGCCAAAGAGACGTTTCAGAAGGCGATGAATGCTGGCGCGAACTTGTCGCTGGAGAATCTGGCGTTTCTGGAAGGCGAGAGCAGCAGGCTGGACGACGTAGAGGATGAATGAGCTACCTACGTACTCGAGCTTACTCTGCCAAGCATTGCAGCCTAAGAGGCTTGTTCTCTATGACGGAGAGGGACATGAGGTACACAGCATCTCACAGAGAGCAGTGCACATGCCACCACTGTCGTCCAGGCCAATGCCCCTGTTGCCTTCTCGAGCCAGTATCGCACTCGTGTTTCGAAACCGCGATCCCTCTACCGCAGCCAGGTATCGAGATGTTGCGTTAGATGCATGAGGCTTGAAAGGATACCAGCAACGAGTGAGAATTCTGCCACAGCGGGTGGGCTCGATTGCTTATCCACGTTGTCACCAAGTCTCCCCTCTCTCAGACAAGACCACACGTGACTCGACACCAGCACTCCAGCTCCAACAAGTTCGCAGTATAGGGGCCACCCTAAATACGAAATTTCGTAGCCTAATAGCAACTCCTCGAGTCCCCGCAAAGCCTGCGGGACGTTCAGAGCCGCAGTTCACCCCCTGGTAGCTGTACGACAGAAGTTCGACTGCCCGCCCTGTCCAACTAAAGTCTGACTGGACCTTTGTATGTGCTTAAGAACACGAAGCTGAGGTGAAGTATAGCCGAGATTCGCTGTAATAGGAGGTAGTAATTGTCTTGGAGAGCAAGGAATAGTCGAGTGGCTCAATTTGTGCGTGTAGAAGACTTCCTCCAGACAGATCCTCACTGTCTGTGCCAATTCTCCCAGATCGCATATCCACAACGAGTCCTGCTTGCGGGAGTGGGCAATTCTTCTCAAAAATCATTTCCATATCTCTTCTAGTCACGTTTTCCTATACCATAGCCATAACCATTTGCAGCACCTACAATGCCATAACCACCCAAACCGCTTCCTAATCCGCCCCTCTCCACTCCACTGGTTCTGTCTCGACCATGGTTCTTCAACCTCCTCGGCAACTCAATACCTCTGAAATAAGCCACACAAATGGCCGCGGTCGCCAATGCCGTCAAGAAACAATACACCACCGTGCTAAACGTCAAATGCCCTCCCACGCCCGTCCATCCACTCGGCAGCAACGTGTTCGGATACCACCGGACACTAAACTGCAACGGCAGAGGGTCCCCAATCACGACCCTACTCGGAGGATCTCGTGAGATACTATAGGCCGTCGCAGCAGCAATCGTGCCTGGTGCAATTCCCCTCGGTGCAGCGTGCACGAGCACATTCATATGTGTCGCAACGTGCAAATGACTGAGTTGCAGAGTCCCCGCCATGGCGATGATCATGGGCGTGTAAATGTCGCTGAGACTGCCTTGTCCTTCTGTCAAATCCTTTGTGCTCTTTTCGTATTCCTGCTTCAACACGGACGGCGCGAGCGGTTTGGTCGGGATTCGACAGGTGAGAGGTACATCGTTGTGGACGTAGTATTCGAGTAAGTGGAAAAAAGGGTCGCTGATGAAGTCGATGGTGCAGTTGATGTCCTTTTCCACGCCAAAGATGAGTTCGAGCGGTCGGCCGGTTTCGTTGCAGGTGAAGGCCGGGACGTAGACGAGTTGGTGGTTGGCATCGGTGATGTGCTCGCCCGTCTCACTGTTTGTGTGTGTAAAGAAGAAGGGGGTAGAATGTCAATGAATGGTCGAAGCAAGGGAGGGATGGAGGGACGGAAAAGGGTAGGTAGTAGTTACACGCTTCGGTTCAAGCATTGAACGGGTATCTTGTCGCCCACTTTGTATGCGAGATCTCCCAGAAGGGGTTGTTGTTGTTGCGAGGAGGCCGCCGCTGCGAGGGCCGTGTAGAAGGATATGGCAAGGCGTATGACCATGGAGACGCCTGAAGGCATTGTGTATCAATCTCTGTTTGGGTAAAAGTTCAGGAGTCAAATAGTAATCATTGCAAAAAGTGACCACGTCGGCGTGTTTGTTACCCTAAGGTACCTCCTACCTCCTACTTGAGTATCTCGATCAGGGGTCTGTCTTTCTTTCTCAGCCACAGCATCAGCCTCGTCCCGTGGCGAAAGCAGCGCAGCCACTTATCTGCCGTTTCATGGTACGAAGATACGAAACAACCCATATCCACTAGTATATAAATGCTCTGGCCCAGCATAAACCGATGCACAAAAGTGCTAACTTAGGCGCTCCTGATACCGACGCGAGTACCGCGATGCGGGTAGCTTTGAAACATAATAATGTGGTTTGAAGTCTATCTAACTTTCACGAAAAAAAAAAGGCAAACGTCGTCCATCCCCCGGCATGTCAAAACGCGTGAAAAAAAGAGGCGACTAGTAGCAGGCAGAAAAAATGAAAGAATGAGTTGCTCACAAGTCCCGTCAAAAGCACTAGCAAAAAACAAATACCGCTCAAGACTATCCTCCACACATTTCTTTCCCTAGCTACAAAAGAGAGCGAAAAAAAACCCCCCCCCCCCCCCAGCATTGAAAGACATGCTGTACCAAGACCAATCAATCTACCACTTGGATGATACCGTAATTGTCGACGTGACGACGATAGTAGACGCTGGGCAAGAGGATGTACTTGTAGATTTAGATGTGGAGCCAGATGTAGTAGCCTTGGAAGTTGTCCAGTTTGCCCGAGGAGATGACATGGAGGAAGACTTCTTCGACGACGACGAAGAGGTGGACTTGGTCAAAGTGGAGTTGAAGGTGCTTGGGTCAGACCATGACTTGGTGATGGATGGGTAGCCGCCGCTCCAGCCAGATGGCTTCATGGCGGATGAAGTCGTGGAAGACTTTCTGGTGGTAGTGAAAGAGGAGCTGGAGCTGGAGTTGGAGTTGGTCTTCGGGGAGTTCAAAGACTTGAAAGATGGATCACATAGGACAGTGAAAACATCCTGCTCTCCGTCGCGAAGGATCCAAGCTCCCTTGTCCTGATCGGAAAAAGTGATGTCGACATTTCCATTACGAACCAGAACGATGGGCTCGGCAAACTCATCGAGTATTTGACATCGGAGTTCCTTGTTCTCGACGCCCGAGCTGAGATTGAGCTGGACGAAGTCGAAGGGGCCATAGGACTGTTCCGGGGAGGCGCTGTCGGGGAGATGGCGCTCTTTGAATATGGTGAGAGAGATTGTGTCGGACTCGGCAGCCTCGTGCCAAAGGCCCACGGTTACGAGGTCTGTGGGCTTGCTAGTGACGTTGGTCGGTGGTGCTGCGAGGGCGGATCCTATAGAAAGCGCACTAAGGGCGACGATTGCACACTGCATCCTGAGTGGATTTGGTCGTGGCTGAGGACAAAAAGAGGGATTGTTCTGTTCGAAGAATGAATATATAACAAATTCAACGATAAGGTGAAGGAACCTGTACCAAGGAGACAAGGAGACAAAGAGATGAATGATCTGTGTGGTGTAATTAGTAGAACAGAAACTGTAGGATAGTCCATTATTCTTCAGCAGTCTTATAGATGATTGATACGCATACAACCTACGGCCTGGGACAGGACGTACAGGCGTCAAGGTCCTAAGGACTGAACGCCTTGTTGCTTGTCGCAGCCCGATTTGAGCTGCAACCACACCGCATCGAGCTGACGACCGGATGCCCCGAATGTAAGAGGATTTTCCTAATCCCGTCTTCAGACATACCAATCCTGCGCCACTGTTGATGTTCCACCATCTGTTGATTGGCTTCACGGCGTGGATGAATGGCAGGCCTGATTTCGATCGGTGAGGTCTGCGCCGCGTCAACAGATTTGCACAACTCGTGCCTAATCATTGGCATGGACATTGCTTGATAGGATTTTCCTGGGCAACGTAAGAGTGTAGAATCTTGTTCGGTGGGTCTGACTGCTTTTCTAGGCCTCGCTGACGCTTACCGAGCTTTCAGCTTGAGGTACATGAAGTTGTTCCAGTACTCGAGCTTCTGGAAGGCTGAGCAGCAGAGTGGTCAGTGAGCAGTAAGTGCGTGTACAACAGAGTGTCATGGTCAGGCAATCATGCTCGAGAGTAGAGTATCAGCCGTGACCCATGGCATGACCCCGAAGAGATGCTTTCAGGAGGTTCAGCTCCGCAATGGCTGGAGACGTGACGGCGCCTTGAGTAGACCAGCGAACAGCGCAAGTGAGCGAAGTTCCATTGTTAGCAGTAGTCAATCGATCGGGACAGCGAACTGGTCTGCAAATATACCTGAGTCTTGTCAGTATTCGAGACGAGGGAAGTGAAGGGAAGAAGGAAAAGGAGTATTTACTCTTCACTCTCTGTCCGCATTCTGCCTTGGCACGCTATTCCCCATATCGCGGGGCGTGCCGCACCGTGTGCAAGGCTTACTCCCAGGTCGTGATTGGCGACGGTCTATCTGTCGTCCATTCTCTTTCCCTTCTCTTTTCTTACTCCATCCTCCCAAGATCTGCTCGCCTTTCTGCTGACATGTCCTCCAGAGAGAGAAAGTCATGTCATGAGGGGACTGCGCAACAGCGTGTTCACGCGCTCAGCTGGGCCGACCAAGTCACCTCACTAAATACCTGTACCTAGTAGTCACAATATAGTCCCAAGGCTCGGGACGTTGCGATGTAACATTGGAGCAATAATCACGACCGGGGTGATAGGCACGGCCATCGCATATCGCTTCTTCTCTCCGCCGAGATGTTCTTGCGACCGAACGACATTCTCCCGATGCACCTGTCTGGACTCTGGAGGTGGACAACTGGTGGGCGGACTTCGTTTTCTCGCATTACATTACATTGGGCAACATCAATGAGAAATTGAGCGCCTGGATCCATCCCCTCGCTATGAAGCAGAGTCTCGTGGCTGCAGTAGTGCATCTGCCACTGCTGGCATTGGCCTCGGCAGGAGTAGAGACACCTCAAGGGCACTCTGTGCCTGTTTCTCTCGTTGAGCACTTCAATAACAAAGCCTTTGGATCATATCCAGGCGAGGCCGCACTGAACATCCTCAACCAGTCTTATCCCGCGGACCCGGTTGCTGTAGATGGATTTTATACATCTCGATCAACAGGAATATCATACCTTTTTCCTGGATACAACCCCGATCCGGGAGCTGCAGATAATGTCATCTGTGATGGACAGGTCATTGACATCGACCCTTCAGAAGACTATATCTCAGTTTCGTTTCTGGCCGTCTCGGACGTTAGATCTACTACTGTCTCGGGAAACGTCACGCTGCTGTTCACAGACAATACGACATCACAGTATGAGCTCCGAGCCCATGCCTTTTGGTGGTTCTTGGCAATCCGTCGCGGCGAAATCACGTATCCGTACTACTTCACCCATAATGACACAAACCACAATGCGTCAGAGATCTACGAGAGGCATGCTTTTGTGGAGACAGGCAAGAGTCTTCGTGGGCTCGTGCTACCTGAAACCACGAACACGACCACCGGAAGGCTCCATGTCTTCGCAATATCGTTGTGGAAAGCAGGCGGCTCCGGTATCGAAGTGCAGGCCATGAGACCAACCCAGAAGTTCGATTCGCAGGGCTCGCAGATTGTCGAGGTTATTATAAACCACAGAGGTCCTTCATGCGTCTCCAATATCGAGGTCTCCCTTGATGCTTCTGGGCGTGGCATGTCTGGGTCTACCGTGGTGAGGCGGTTCTGTCCCGGCGAACAGAAAATAGTCAATTTAGCGGTGCATGGACAAAGCCAAGGTGATGTCACAATCACATTGAGCGTTCCCGGATCTCAGCCCGTCTGTCGAGTGTTTCCAAATATCAAGATCAGTCTCGAAGACTGGGAAGCGAAATCCACGAGTCTGATCCAGCACGAAACTCCCGAATGGTATAACGGGGCAAAGTTTGGTATATTCATCCACTGGGGCCCGTATGCTGTTCCAAGTTGGGGAAACTCGACGCCAACCGAGTGTTATGCGGAGTGGTTCTGGTGGTACTCTACTCGAGTGGGTGATCACGCGGCAGCCGATAGGTGTGGATTCAATGGTGAGCAAGAAGACGTTGCCGGGGAGGTCGATTCTCCCTTCATTGATCAGATCTAACATAAGTCAGCTTATCGCTTGCGCACGTATGGTCCAGACTTGCTCTATGACGACTTTTTCGACAACTACACAGCGTCAAAGTTCGACCCAAAAAGCTGGGTGGATCTTTTCGCAGCTGCTGCCGCTCAGTATTTTGTGTTTACCACCAAGCACCACGACGGCTTTGCCAACTTTGATGCGGGACATACGACGAATCGTTCTGCAATCCACTACGGACCAAGACGCGACCTGCTGGGATTGCTTTTTGAGGCTGCAGAGCAGTACCAGCCACATCTCAAGCGAGGAACCTATTACTCCATACCCGAATGGTTCAACCCTGACTGGGGCAAGTATGGCTTTACACAATACGGCGATAGAGTCACATCAACATCACATCCTGGCATCATCGCTCGCAATCCGTATACGGGACAGACTGAACCGTACACTGGGCGGGTGCCTATTGGTGACTACATCACTGATCTTCTCGTGCCGCAGATGGAAATACTCGCGTACCAGTACAAATCGGATATCATGTGGTGCGATGCTGGCGCTTCGAATGGGACCGACGTTTTCGCAGCAAGTTGGTTCAATTGGGCCAAAGCTCAGGCACGTCAAGTGACCATCAACGATCGCTGTGGCAGTCCGTGGGCTGCGGACTTTGACACGCCAGAGTATCAGACTTTTAGCACAGCACAGCAGCGCAAGTGGGAAAGTAATCGAGGCATGGATCCCTTCAGCTATGGCTACAACCGCGCGACTGCTCCGGAAAGTTATGCCAACGCCTCTTCCATCGTGATGCAGTTGGTGGACATGGTCAGCAAGGGAGGGAATTTATTGCTCAATATTGGACCCAAAGCTGATGGCAGTATTGATGAAACTATGGTGAACAATCTTCTCGAAGCTGGAGCTTGGATTCATGCGCATGGTGAAGCCATTTTCAATACCACATACTGGTCGGTGACTCCCGAGGAAGGGAAGCTGAGATTCACACAAACCAACGACGCGTTCTACATCATCTGTCTCTCGACGCCCGTCTTTGGCAGTCAGCTGGTGGTGAAGTCTCCAATTCCAGTCCAATCTGGTGATACGGTCACTGCGATCACGATGAGTGGAGAGATAGGTGTGAAATGGGGCTGGCTGCGGGATGATGCTGCTGGTGAGAACCACTTCTTCATTGAAGTTCCGGAAGCCACGGTAATTCCAGATATGTTCTGTTGGGTGTTCAAAGTGCAGTATGGAGGCTAGTCGGACTTGCTGATTGTAGAGTCTGACGTGAGCTCGCCGCAGCCAACGAGGTATCGAGTAGTAAGTGATATATCGCAGAAAGATTAGGTACTGCTGCGTAACCAGCGACTCGTGAGCTACATAGCCTTCTCCTCACAGCCCATGAGTGCGTTCCAGCTCGCGGTTTACTCGAGCGGCACTTCTGTCTCGATCCCCCCCCTTCGTGCAGTTCCTGCTTATCAAGTGCCATTCCGCCTCATCACAAGTCTTCGATCCCGAAGCAACCGTTGCATGCGATAAGACCGCTCACCATTGTGCCTAAAAGACCTACAATGTCATGATAGCTTCTCGCCTGGCCATCTCTCCGGTCTTTTACAAGCGAGCAAGAAATAAATGCCAACAATTGAATTCTCATCTCCGTCTCCGCTCGTTCCGCACGTTTTCAGATGATACATGTACTGTTTCCCTCGGCTCGGCCGTGTGCCTTCATTGATACCTTACCACCGCTGCCTCTGCTCTGCGCTTGATCTTGGTGATCTTTGTGGGACGTGTTACGTATAACCTGGTCTTCCCACCGTTGAGAGAGTATGGCAGGACGTGAAGCTTGTTGTCTCATATGGTCAGTAATGTGGGTAGCAATTAGTGAGCCGGCCTGGCAAGCGGATGGTGGATGTGAACCAGCCTCGTCTGGGCGGAGGGCGCTCATGTTGGCCCCAGGCACCAAGTGAAGCAAATGATGGAAGGAGAGAGAAGCCACGAGAGGAGGGCAGAAGACTGCCGCAGAAGAGCACGTGAGTCAGCCTCCCGCAGCCTCCCGTCCTTGGCGCTCAGTGAGTATAAGAAATTCCTTTCTTTGCTCCCCAACGAAGTTTCCTTTCCTCCTTAGCTCTCTTTGCCTTTTGGCTTAGATCAAGTAAGTTTACCACCTACACCCACCCTCACCTCAACGGACCTCACTAACATCCTCTCAGGTGTAGTATCTGTTCTTTTCAGTTTAATCTCTGAAACGAGTCTACGGACTCTTTTAAGATTATGTGAGTTCTTCCCTCACCTCCTCTCCCTTCCACTCTGGCTAACGGCTTCACAGTCTTATTTTTGAAACTCGAGAAGAGGCCGCTGGGCTTGCTCATGTCTCATCTCACCGTGTCCTTGGTATCGCACTACCTCCAAGCGACGCGAAGAAACCCTTTTTCATCAGTTCACTGGCTTTCGAGCGCGTGATTGGAGAAGAAGCAAGAACAACAACAACAGCAGCAGCTCCACGTCTGGTGGTCGACGTGATTCCATCGATTTCTTCGTCTCACTTGACACGTCGCGCGCCTTGTACTCTCGCGCACACGGCTAATTTCGACTCGAGCCTCGACTCGAACGAAGACGGCCAGCTGCTACCTGCTGTTGTCGTCGGATGCCGCCTCTTCACCTGTGTTGTCACCGACCCGTCCGAGATGGCACTCGCGCAGAGCTGGTGGAGTTGCTGGTGGAGGGCGGAGCAGCGCACGGAAGGGACATGGCCGACAACTTGAGCATACCATCCAAGCGCATCACCCGTATAGAAGTGGTATCGTAAGAGACCTGACGCGCCGTGCTGAAGCAAGACTGAGGCGCGCGCTTTTTGTGTGGCTTTAATAACGCTGCCTCGAAAGTCGGGTCACTGCTGACATCTGGCGTACAGCGACTCGCGGCGGCAACCAAGACGCCCCCGAGACTGTCTGCACGGGCGAATGGCAGTGTTTGGGTCTATTCCTGGACATCTGATCCATGCGAGGACAATGAGAGACTGTCGTCGCGCGAGGGTGGACAGCGGCCACAGACATGTCACGGGGAAGACAAAGAGACATTTCCAACCGCGACGCCATCTCCACGCTCTTTGTCTCTGCATCCAAGACACGCATTGAGAGATCTCATTTCGGTCTGGGACAAGGAGACTGGCCACAGAATGAATGGTATATCCTTGTGAGCCCACGACATCGAGCCTGAACATCTTCATCACCATCCTTCCAGACTCAAGCTTGACTCAGTTATCAACTACTCAGCCTACGCAGGTCGCAGGTCACTTTGACAAGTACTCAATTGATACATAGGTAGCCCCAGCACAACGAGAATGGCCCCATCAACGCGCCGAAACAGCGCCCTCGCGAAGAAAATCGCCACTCTGCAACTTCGTCTCGCCCCATTAGTTCCCTTACCAGCTGGACCGCCCCATCCAGCTTTCCCGGATACTCTTCTCGCATTCCACCTGCTCACCGAGGCGGAGCTCGACAGTATCGCGCATTATTACCACCAGTCCACTCCCTCACAATGGTAAGCACATATGCAACAGCAGCACTCAGACCATTGAGGATACATGTATGGCGAACAAGCTGACCTGTTTGACTCGAAGGACGCACCGCTACCCAGCAAGCATGAATTGGGACAAAGACTTTCTCGCCAAACCGTCTTCACGAACACCGCACCACCCACCTCCTCACACTCCCGTATCGGCTACCAAGGAAGGCAAGATCCGTCGCCGTCGCAGCCGTCCAATTTCTCACTCTGATGACGTCTGGCTCGAAGATCTGATGGATACGGTGGAAGACATTCAATCGCCTCTCTTGTTCCTACCGAGTCACAATGGCGTTGATGATGATGATGGTAATGAGAAGAAGGATATGCTGGCGAATCCCACAACAACAACAACAACAACAACAGCAGCAGTCAATCCATATGCGAATATGAGCGACAAGGATCGGATTCGGATCAAGAGACGCAAAGTGGGAAAATTTATTGGATTGGTAGGGATGGAAACTCCGGTGGAGGAAATTGCGGCGAGGATTCAGTCGAGTTTGGATCGTGCTATGGAGAGGAGTCGAGAGGAGTTGAGGAGGAATGAACAGATTATGACGGGGAGGAAGAAGATGGCGTAGGATTCTTGTTTTTCGGGGAGGTGCTTTAGCTGTTGGGACCAGAGGGATAGATACGGAAAAGAGGGGGAGAGAATGTGTTTGAGCAGGAATAGATATATATTTTTCACCGTGTTCCATCTCCAAGCAACTGCTCCATCCATTCCATCAGCAGACGCCACACCAAATCCACAACCTCAAAAAGACCAGAAAACATACCAAACTCCACCACTCCACCCCTCCCATTCCCCCACCCCAACAGCCCCATAAAAATCCCACCATCTCACACCACCTCCCCCAAAATCTCCACTCCCTTCTTCCTATTATCATCCTCCTCTTCCTCCCCCCACCCCTCGGCTCTCACCTGAATTTTCATACTCTCCAACACCCTCACTTTGACATTTGTATCGCGCACTTCTGTCCCCACAAACGCTCCATAAGTACTTTCGAATTCGTGTTTGCGGAGCGCTAGCCAGATTTTGTAAATTTCAGAGGGGGCGAGTGGGATCATGTTGGGGATGGACCACATGAATACGTAGGAGTTTGTGCCTGGGGGGCGGTTGTGGTGGTAGAGGGCGGACTGGAAATGAGGGGTGGGAAGGGAGGGGTTAGTTAGTTGTTGTTCAAGGAAGGGGGGGGGGGGGAATCCTTTTTTTTTTGTTTTTTTTTTTGACATTGTGAGATCTTACCGGAGTAGTAACCAAACTATCCGCCACAAACAATTTCTTTTCCCACAACAACACCAACGATCCAGGAAAATGTCCTCCGACTTTAATCGCCTTGACCACTTCCTCTCCTGCTTTTCCTTCTTCCCCACCACCCAAAACATCCTCCTCCCCCCTCCCCTTCAAAATCAACCTCCTCCTCCCCTCTCCATCCCCCCGACTCACCCACTCCTCGGCATCCTCCTGCGAAAACCACACAGGACAATCAAACGTCCTCGCCCAATCCAAATGCGTCGTATAATAATGCGGATGACTAATCACAATCCCCCGCAACCCGCCTCGCGACGCGATGAAATCCACCGTGGCTTGATCGAGATAGGTAATACAATCCCACAGAATATTTCCGTGTGAAGTTTCGAGCAGAATGCAGCGTTGGCCGATGGCGAATTTGGGAGAGGTGCAAATGGAGGTTATGCGGGAGTCGAGGGCGTCCGGGTGGAAGGTGTTGTGGTAAGAGGGTTGTGTTTGGGTGTGCATTTCGTGGAGACTTGTCCAGGATTGGCCTGTGGGAGGGACGAATTGGCGGGGGTCCTGGAGGGGGGTGGTGGTGGTGTGTGAGTAGAGAGAGGGAGAGATAGAGAGAGAGAATGTTGGTAGAAGAGGTTGTAGAGAGGTAGGTAGATGATGAAGACTCAACAACTCACATCACAGATTCGACATGCTTGGAGGGGCTGATTTGCAGATATGTCGAATTGCGTGCCACAAGCACAGCAGATGAGGAGGTCTTCACTCGTTTGGAGAGGAGGCATTGCGGTGCTTGGTGTTGTAATTCTGTCTTTTCGACAACTTTGACAAGCGAGTTGGTCTGCTCGAATAGTGCGATGTGTTGACAGGTAGGTAGTAGGTAGTTTCTCTGTTGACAATTCTTGTAGTGAAAAAATGATAGAAAATGATACAAAGCTTGCAAAGTGATGATGTTGGTGATGAGGTATCATTACATGGAGTTGAATACTGTAGATAGGTAAATCGGCAAATACTAGAGTTGCCCGGCGGGCGGCGGGCCCTGGTTGGTTGGGTTGGGTTGGGTTGGGGTATTGCATTATCAATGTTCAATCACTGGTTCAATGGGAGTACAGCAGGTGAGGAAGTCTTCACGCGTCTAGAGAAGAGACATTGCGAGCGCTCAAATACGGAATGAATGTCTGCTAGAACGGTGGTAGTGGTTGTGATGGGCAATTCTTGTAAATAATTATACGAGTGAAGAGAAACTTTAGAAAGGAGTCAAAAGGTTAAAGGACAGAAGGGTGGATGCATGACTAAGCAAGGTATAACCAAGCATAACGACGTCAACATCGTCAAGTTTCAACTTTCCAGTGTTATTGCACAGTTGCACAACTCTCACTTAGGACTTGAAATGAAATGTGCCAACCGGATAATTGTCGTTCCAATTATTGTTATTTGTACTAATCCCCGCAGTGTACACTTTTTAGCTCCTTTGCTGTTCCATGTGCCGAATAGTCTCCATGGACAATATCGCAAACCTCCGTCAACATAGCCGTCTTCTTACCCGTCGGACCCGTAACCGGGTCGTTGCAGGTTTTTCTCCACCGGCGAATCGTAAACTCCGCCTCGAAACGCTTGCCCCAGCTATATTGCGCTGCGACTGTACATGTCGGGTCTCCCTGATCGACAGGTTGGGTATTGATGCAATGACTGCCGTCTCTGTGACTCTCCACGGCCCAATCATCGACACCAGTGGAAACGTCTGCGCAGAATTCGGCCAAGTCGTTATCGGGAAGCTGTGCGTTGAGAAATGTTTTGGAACAGATGACATGGAGGCGTTCGCAATTAAGGAACTTGTCTAGTGATTCTGGTTCCAAAAAATTAAAATCGAGATGAATTTTCAATTAGTTTGTATTTTCTTTTTTTTCTTCTTTTTTTTTCTTCCTTTTCCTTCTTTTTTTTCTTTTTTCTTCTCAACAGCCGTCGAGAGACGTGGAGCTTACCGTCTCGCGTGACTAGGCTGTCACTGAACAAATCGAGGCTGCTAGGTATAGCAAGAGCGAACATCGCCCAGGCGACGGCAGCGAAGAGAGCAGTATGCATGTTGAGGAGGTCTCCTTGGCTCTAAGGCAGAACTTGGGGATGTCTTGTCTTGAAGCAGAGGTAATCGTTGGTAGGCCTATCTTTGTAGACTAGCAAGTAGTTCATATATCGTATACAAACCTTGAAAAGAGGAGAGGTACAAGATGCTACTGTACAGGGAAGTTATCAAACAGTATATACCTGGTACTGGTAGTAGGTAAATGAATACATACTACCTGAGGTAAGGATATATTATCCGGAATGCCGGAAAATGCTCGACAAAGTCAAATCTATTGTCAAGCAGCTGCGGGATACATTACTGTAAGAAGATCCAAGCCCGAAAAGGACAACGTACGTACCGGGTACCCCGACAAGACCGTATGATTCTAAAATCCAATAAATATGTTATACGGGCCTGCCCGTTGGTGGCACGGTGTCGGCCAATTTTCGTATATGCGTACGTATACGCGTGCGGCGCGTATACGGGTGTTTTATCTATCTTCTTCTTCTTCCTACGAGGCTTCTCTTCTTCCTACGACGCTTCTTCTTCTTCGTCCGAGGCTTCTTCTTCCTCCCGGGCTTCCTTTTCTTCCTTCTTCCAAGGCATCTCCATCTCTATCTCCATCTCCATCTCTATCTCCACCTCCACCTCCTCCTCCTCCTCCTCCTCCTCTCCTCCTCGTCCTCCTCCTCGCCTTGTCCTTCTCTTCTCTTTGTTCTTCTCTTTGTTCTTCTCTTCTGAATTCCAGGCAAGGTAGCCCGTAGGGAAAGATAGGCAGATAGGCAGACAGGCAGGCAGGCAGGCAGGCAGGCAGGCAGGCAGGCAGGCAGGCAGGCAGGCAGGCAGGCAGGCAGGCAGGTAGGTAAGTAGGTAGTAGGCAGGCAGCTATAGGTATAGGCAGGCAGTCTTTCCGCCTACAGCGGACTTTCTTTTTCTTTTGAGGTAGTAACGGATTTTGCATATCACCCTAGCGCGCCCTACCGCCAAAGTTCGCGCTAATCAGCATATGCGGTCCGATTATTTTTGCGACCCCGTACACAGATTGATTAGCCCTCTACTCCCCTTTACGCCTGACCTACGCTGCGCTTCGGAAGGCTTGGAGGTCGTTCTGTGTCAAAAAGTTATGTATGTTCAAGATAGGCAATTAGTTACACTGTTTGTTGAAATCATATGATATGTGACATGGGTAGCATGTTATGATTGTTATCAGCTAACATGGGGTTAATGTTGGTTACATACCTTAGGCAAGGGGTCTTTCTTGGCAGTGTACTAATGTAGAAGGGTAGGTCCCTACCCCGGCTACCTCTATCTTTTCCTTCTTGATAGGTTATACCTAGGTAGACACCAACTTAATACTATTACTGCTCAATTGGGCGACAGTGTAGGCCCTGTAGGGCTCAAACACTGTTCTCTATACCTAGGTGTTTACAATACCCTAACCTTGCACTTGCATTTGCCCTACGGTCTACCTACCTAGACAGCCCTAAATTCTAATCAAAAGCTCGGCGAATTTGGAAACTAACACTGTAGCATACCTATGTTCCAGAATTCAACACTACAAGTTCTTCAGTACTGCCCTGTTAGGCGATAATAGACATTATCTGCCTAGCAGCGATGGTCTAGTCGGGAAACGAAAAAGGGTTCTTTCTTTCTGTTCAATCATATCTAATCCCCATACACAACACACCACAACAAAACAAGAGAGCGAGCGCCCTCGGATGCAATAAAAGACTCTGGCCGTTTTCGTTTTTCTCGTGACTTCATCCAAAAAGAACCATCGATGATGATGATGATGATTCATGGATGTAACTGCTTGCTACCTGACCTATGCTCTCACAGTCTCCACCGCCGCTGTTGAGCGAACATCATCACCTCCGTACCGCCCAACGGTCACGCGGTCGACTTTGGTTTTGTTCTCCTTGACCGTCAGACCTTGCCAAGAGAGTTTGGCAGCGCCGCCGCCGCCCTGCTGCTGCTGGTGGTCTTCGTCGAGTCGGCCCAGACCATCGTTGGTAATCCATTGTGAGACCACGTCTCGGATGAAAGCCAGTTTGCCGGAAATCTCGTTGGCTTTTACGATTCGTTGGCGCACGCGTCCGCCTTCGAAGAGCATCGCTTGCACACTGTCTGCGAGGACGTCGCGGTTGGAGACGTGCTGGGGGAGCAGCTCTCCATGTTGCGAGAGGTGAGAGGTCGCTTCGGGGGTCAAGACCGTAGCGGAGATGACTTGGCCGGACGAGGAGAGCACAATCTTGGTGTGGTCGGGGAAGTGAACCTGAGGGGCAAAAACGTTAGCATCCCCTGGGCGAACAAGGTATACAAGAACTAAAAGGAATACTGACCTGGAGACATCCGTCTGCGAAAGCCCACACTCCCACGTTGCCAATTCTCTGGTAGAATCGCACAAAGTTTTCCTGGTTCGGGCTGATGTCCCCCGTTTCCTCGGAGCCATCCAATGACTGACACATGTACCGTCCAAACTTCACCCACAGCACGCTCAATGTTCGTCTTCTCTCCGCCTCGACGAGCAGTGGCCCTTCCTTGACGCTACCAAGACCTTTGTACACCTTGCGCTTGATGCCTTCCAAGTCGCGGTCTTCGAAAATCTCGAGCGGAACTTGGTCGATACCGGTAAAGTCTTTGTTCTGATGGACCTTTTTCAGCCATCTCTGGCCATTGCGAACCAGGACATGTGTGACTGGTGTGGGTTCTTGCCCAGCTCTGGCGGTAGCATTGATAATGCACCCCACCGTGCCATCCGACAACACGTACCCGACGCCATGTTTCCGGCTGTAGTCGACCCATCGTGAGACAAAAGGGAGGCCCGCACCCGGATCATTGCTATCTCTCCGCAAGCTCGACGTTGCTTTGGCTGTTGCTGATCGCGTCAGGGCTTCGGCAAGGTTATCTCGGAGAATGGCCAATTTCTTCAGCACGGCGGTGGGATCTGTACCTGGTACGGCAGGCTCCATTTCATCGTGCAATTTTCTTCGTGGCTGTGGTAGTCGCGCGGTCATCCTGGGAGGTCGTGGGAGCTTCAGCGTTGCTGATATGGACTCCACGGGCTTCTTAAGCTCATCTCTGTCGTCTGAATCCGGATCAGATAGTATCTCAATCACTTCTGCAGCAGGCGCCTTTCTCCTCGACTTGAAAGGCTCCACTTGCTTCAGCTCGTCCAGCGTCGCAAGAGGACCTTGTTCCACTGGCTGAGATACATTTCGTTTGCGGGCGACCTTCGCAACATTTGGCTGGGCCGGCAGCTGTAGCTCTTCTGGTGACGAAGGGCGCTCCTGTGCTGGTCTGGGTGCACGTGGCCGTCTCGCAAGACTGGCGTCCGCACTACGCTTGACGGTACCACTTCTTTGAGGTTTTTCTAGCGGATCTGAGCTCTGCTCGGCTGGTAATGTCTGATGAGAAGTGGTCGTGCCTGTCGCAAAGTTTTTGGACTCTCTCAATGCCGATGCCACCGTCACTGTTGCCGGTGCACTAGAGGACGGCACTGGTGCTGGTCGCGTCTTGGCCACTCGCACAGGCGCCGCAGAAGAAGGCCCAGAGGAAGACGAGTCTGATGCGATCTTGACGGATTCTGAAGATTTGGCTGCTGTCTCCTCGCTGATGGTCCGAGCAGCTCTCCTCACCGAGTTCGTCCCGGGCGCTCTGGCCGCGCGTGACGGTGCTCGAGGAGGTGGCATCAATTCTGTGTCGCGCGCCGCCTTGCCCGTGTCCGTTGCACGAAATCGAGGCATGGCTACCTCGTTGTGCGACATCTCCCTCATATGGCGGCTGGCAAAGTTCTTTCGAGGCAGCTCCACAGACGCTGCTGAACTGTCCGGACTGGTCTTCTCAAAGTCGGATATCATTGATGTGTACACCACATCTTTGGGAATGGGCATCATGGGTTGGCGACCCAGTTGCGTCTCTTTCTCCATATCATGCACGATACTCCTGATCTTTCGCCCACCATTGAGTGGGAAACATCTGCCTTCCTCATACTCCCCTACGCCCGACTCCTTGCAGACCGAGAACCATGTCTCGCTATAACCTCGCCGGATGGTCTCTGCCGACGGTATCGACACTTCCCATTTTGGGACCTCAGTTCGTGCAGACTTTGGTATCTCTGCTGGCACGTAAGCCACTTTGAAGAACTTGTGGCTCACGATAGCGTCTGGATTGGGTCGTTGATGCTCTTCCACTAAAATGCTCGATACCAGGTCGCGTAGATCTGCGCTCTGGTTGGTAGTGGCACTGAGTTCCGGCCACGTATATGTTCCTGACCTCAGCTTCTTGTAGATCTCCTCCTTCGTACTCGCGTGGAAAGGTGCCTTGCCCACTGCAAGCGTATATGCAATGACACCAATTGCCCACAAATCCACCTTCTCGTCGTGCCCTTTGCCCTTTTCCAAGATTTCCGGCGCCAGATAGTTCGGAGTCCCACACATAGTCGTTCTTCGCCTGACTTCCATATCTCGTTCTGTCACCAAGAGAGCAGCGAGGCCAAAATCGCCCACTTTGACATTCATCCTGTCGTCCAAGAAGAGATTTCCCGTCTTGAGATCGCGATGCACAATATGACGGTGATGCAAGTACTTCACCGCACCACATACTTGGATCACCAGTCTCCGAATCTCCGGCAGTGTGACTTGTTTTCGCTTTTTGAGCATGTCTGCGAGGGAGCCATTAGGACACAGCTCCAGCACGACATATGTACTCGTCTGGAACGAGAATGCGCGGTGGAAGGTGACGATGTTAGGATGAGAGAGCTTGCTGTGAATCTGCAACTCTGTCACGAACTGCACGAGATCAGTCAGTCTTGTTCGCCATATACATTGTATATTGATGTTGTGCTGTGCGATGCACCTTTTGTGCCAATTTGGCCGGCTCCATCCTCGTCTTGACAATCTTCAAGGCAAAGATCTGGCCCGTTGGCCTGCTACCGTCGTATCGTTCAGCCTTGTGGCATATTGCGAAGCCCCCTTTGCCGAGAGCACCTCCAGTAGCATAGCTGATTCCACTCGGTTCGGTGACGACGGGCGGTGGAGGATCGGCGTGGATGGAGTTGGAAGACATCGTCGACGGCGTATGTCTTTTGCTGTGATGTGCCGGGTGTACGCGCACACATGAACGCCGAACACTCTGCTCAAGTGTGGTGTACAGAAGCTGCTGGTTGAGATACAGGTGAGGGAGGTGGTTGGTCTTTCGGTGGAAGAGTAGTAGTCTTCCTCTACCATGGATGATGGATGGCAGACGCCGACGGCATGCATGTTTACTTGGCGCTGTGTTTGTCAGGTTGCGGAGGACAACGACCGCTGATCGGCCATTCGGCGCGGCCCCACTTTACTTTCACGTGCGCCACCAGAACTACCAGAGCCAAATGTAGAATACACCTCCGAACGCTCCGACCATCAGTTCGCAGCCGCATCGCAGACGACTGTACACTACATTCGCCAAACAGCTTCCAGAATGCCTTGAGTCCTCACCAAGATCCGGGCAACTCGCTGTCCGAGATCACAATCCACATCATGTCCCTCACCTTCAAGCTTCTCTCGCTTGCCATCAGAACCGCCGCCAAACCCATAGGCAATTATATCAAGCGACAGGCGAAGGAACACGAAGCTTTTCGCAGGTTTGCTGTGAATCAAGCGCAGCGTGTGCATCGAATCGATATGCGAATGGTATGTCGCTTCTGTCCTGGCCTCAGGAGACTGGCCTACAGCGTACTGCCGTAACACTTTGGTGTCGGCATTGCAAGTTCCAGGCAGTACGTGGTCTAACCTGCTGTAGAGACTGGGCATCCTGCATGATCCTGAAGCACAACAACGAATGCACGAGCGAGAACAACGGGCGGCAGAGGAGAAAAAGCGGAAAGCTGAGCAACCTACAGTGCGGTCAGAGTTGGAGCAGAAAAAGTACGACGAACAGAAAGCTAAAGAAGCAACAGACGAGGCGGGGGGCAAGAAAGAGGAGTCAAAAGCCGTCAAGGCCAAGATCAGACCACTTTCAGAAGCCAGAGCAATTGAGCTGGGAGCGAACTTCTTCTCGGAGGCCTTCATCTTTGGGGTGGCAGTGAGTTTGCTCGTATTCGAGCAATGGCGTCGATCATCCAAGGAGAGCGACCGCAGAGATGATGTCGCGGACCAGATAGAAGAGCTCAAGGCAGAGATTTTGGAGCTGAGAAGCAAGATTGACCCCAATCTCGAAACGTTGAATGAACTGCACGAACGAGAAGCGCAGGCCAAGCGAAGGAAGAGCACATCAAGTTGGTGGAGTCCTGGGGGATGGATGGGTAATAAGGGTTCAGATGATGCATCAGAGGAGGCAGAGGTGGATATCCGAAAGATGCAAAAGGAAGCAGAAGAAAGAGTGCATCACATCGCTAAGCAGCGCGAGGAAGCCAAGGCCGCAAAAGAGGCCGCAAAAGAGCACGAGAAGAAAGGAATCATAGAAAAAGCGCTTGAGAGGAGGCTAGCAGGGGAGAAGAAGGAAGCGGCATCCGAAGAGGAGGCTGTTCGTCACGCTCCGCCTGTGCGTCTAGACACGGTAGATGCATCATCGAAAGGCAGATGATGCTCTGCATAGCACCGGTTCGCTTCACTGAGGTGTTGGTCAGACTGCATATCTTGCTGCGCGGATAGTGCAGATGGCAGTGTCGGTGAAGAAGGAGAAGGAGAAGTCGCAACTCGGCCCAGAATTGTTCATAATCGACGATACCCAGCTCTTGTACAATGACTTTAGACAATCCAAGACTTTCTGTACAGCCCAGCCCAGCTCATGCATCTCGCGGACATGATGGCCACCCCTCCGGCTCCCACTCTCTTCTGCAACTCGCTTCGCCGCCGACCCTCATTCGCGTCGGCGATTCCCACACTACTGCGGCAGTCGCGCTTTGTCGTTCGAGGTATTTCTGCTTCCCTTCTTCTACTTCCTCCACCCATCCCTACCGACTGTAGTCTCCATATGCCTGGCATTGGATCGGCTTACACTCACAATCTCGTAGAACAGCTCCTCGATACACACGACGTCGCAGTTCCCATCACTTGGGAGGTGCATCCGCAAGCTGGCCACACACGCCCAACTCGGCACTTGCGCTTCCTGCTCTTGTCGCCGTCCGCGCTTCTCGACGCCAAGCTGGACACCACAATCGAACGCATTCGCCACTTCTCGTTCCTCACCACGGAGCCCATTGCGATCATCTTCCTGCTCAATCCACCACGTGAGACTTCGTTCCGGTCCGCAAAGCACCTCGGCCAGACTGCGATCGAGCTGTCCAGTGACCGAGTGGACGGTGTCCTTGGCTATGTCAAGTTGCAAGCCGAGATGATGAACCGCTCCGACCTGCCGCACATTCCCATCCTTCCGCTCAACCATCTCGTGGGCTTGGAGCCTCTTCTTTCCAAACATGCTGCGCTGCATACGGAACATCAGCCAGGCCGGCAGCATGATGATGCTGCTGCTGCTGCCACGTCTCGACAACTGATGCAATTCTGCACCCTTCGACAGCCCATGCAGGAGTTTACTGCAAATGTCTTGAGCGACACCTTTGACAACTTGCAGGATATTGCAAAGACCATGGTCACGGAGCCAACCACGCCATACTCAAGCTCACCCACTGCGATTGCTGCTTTTGCGTTGAATGTACTTTCGCAGGATTGTGATGAAAACGGTACGCTGCGGCCACCGTCCGACGATGCCACGCCGCAGGGCAAGCTGAGAATGCTGAAGGGCATCCTGGGCGAGGTCGAGACTGCAGAAATGGTGGAATTCTGGCGAGAAGAGTATCAGGTGGACTGAAGTGCGAAGTCTTAAGGACAATGGCTGCTGATCTGCTCTCGAGTCGCTACAATTATATATATCTTGTCGTACCTACCATTTGGCGGTGCCCATGCCGCACTCACTCTTCACGAAACATATCACCCTCCCGTCGCCAAACATGCAATATGGAATGTAGCAGACCGAACGCTTCCACAAAAAGGAAACCAAAATTGACGTGCTGACAGCAAGCATACCTTAAAGGTATCAACCAAACACCATTACTACCTTACTCTTCTTCCAAAACCCACTAGCCATGCAACCCTCAACTCTCCAAGCCCCTAACAACAACACTCGAATCGAGTCCTGGCAACTCCTCCCTCCTCCCCGCTCACCACCAGCACTCCCGGTATCCAACCCATTTCATCAACGACAACGACAACAACAACAACAACAACAACAACAACAACAACAACAACAACAACAACAACAACAACAACAACAACAACAACAACAACAACAACAACAACAACAACAACAACAACAACAACAACAACAACAACAACAACAACAACAACAACAACAACAACAACAACAACAACAACAACAACAACAACAACAACAACAACAACAACAACAACAACAACAACAACAACAACAACAACAACAACAACAACAACAACAACAGCAAAGCAGCAAGTCGCGGCGGCGGCGGCTTGCACTGCATGTGAATATGATATCCACCAAGTCCAAGAGACCAGCCGCTTCGATTTCAACCATCTCTGAATCTGATCCTGGTGGCTCCGAATCTGTACTGCCCTCGATTACTTACTGGAAACATGTTCATAGGCAAGATACTTCGGAAGCTCGGGGACAGGAGCCGGGGACGGGAGCTGTGGTGAATGATTTTGTCTATGAGAGTGGGTATGTGATGCGGGGATAGCGGGGACTGCGGCTACAATGCTGAAGGACTTTTGCTTGTGACAGGTATCGGACCTTCTTGTCGACGAAGCATGAGGTAGCGCTATGGGAAATGCCAGATGCGAATGTGGTCTGGCCCCGATGTTCTCTGTGTTTATACAGATAGGTACAGCTGCTACCTGGGCAGTATAACCCCACGAAAAGGTGCTCTGTTCACTTCTCCTCCCTCTTCACATCCCGTTCTTCATATAGCTCAGATTCCGCCACTGCAGGTACCGACAAGTTTGCAATCGCGAGAACTGCTTCCCGCCAAAGGTCTGAGCCACTGTGCAGAGCCATGCCAATCGCTTCTCCGTGCATACCCATGGCCTCTCGCATCTCCTCTATGGCGTTTACAAGCTGCTGGGCAGTCTCCTTCAGCGTCGCGGTACCTTTGCCATGGACATTGACCATCAAGCCATGTGCAGGACTAATGGTGAAACAGATATCGATCGTATCATGAGCCGCAACAGCGCCACCCAAGCTGAGCTCAACTCGGGCAAGACATCTCGTGTCTGTCCTGACGACTACCTTCAGCCACTGCTTGAGGACTCTGTTAACAGTGTTTTCCATTGTATCCGGTTCGGAAATGAGATCGAAAAGGAACACTGACGTCCCAAAAAAGACAGGGCGGGCTGCTTGTCGAATCTCCTTGCAGATGGCGAGGAGTGGGGGCAAGGAACCATGTAGTTGACGTACAGGACGATTGCCTGCTCCAGAGCCCAAGACTATCCCGTAGATTCGATTTTTCACGACGACAGGCAGTTCTAGGAATGGAAATGGCTGTGCTGCGCGCCGCAGATTATTGTAGAACAAATCGAGGTCCGACAGGGCATTTCCAGAAATGCGCACGAGAAGTGCTGGGCTGATGTAGTTGCACAAAGCCTTGATGTCTGCGATCTGCTCATCTCGGCGCGGCTGTGGACGAGTGTTTGTAGCGCGCTGGCCTTCGGAGACAGGCCGCGGTGGTTGAACATCCGCCCTGGCTTTCGAAGCTACATCCCAGACTTCCTTCACCGACTTCTGCGGAGTGTCTTGCGCGGCTTGGTGGAAAGCAATTGCCATTGCGGCGGCCCACTCGTTTCCATGCCCCGCCACTTCCTTTTTCACACACTCAAAGACGTGTTTGCTCATCATGCTCAATGAGGTCCCATACTTGCTCCCTCGTCAGGTGCAACTTCGAGATAACAAGCTCGGCGGGGATTGACCCGTGGCGTGCACGGAGAATGGTTGTCATATGCGCTGCCCACGCCGTGAAGTCGGCGCCCTCGTACAATAAACCATGAGTGGTCAGATCTCCTGGTTGTATCGCATCCGAGATTGCTGTACGACATTGTGTTGTCTCTGTTCCCATTGAGTAAAGCTGGTCCCGGAGACTCGCAATCTCCTCTTCCCTAGAGGCAATGGTATCTTGAAGCTTTCGCGCTTCGTCTATGCTCTCGGCGTCCTTGGCCGTGGCAGCGTCCCGAAGGTGCTGAGTCTGCTTCTCGACATTCAAACTTACACTATTGGCCCAATCATCTCGTAGCGTCGCGTTCTCCAACTCTTTGGCCGCAATCTCTGAGTCTTTAGCCACGATTGCCTCTCTCAGTCTTGCAGTCTGCTTCTCAACATGAGTCTTCACGCTCTTGGTCACCAGCTCTTTGATCTGATGATCGCTCCTGACGAGCTCAGTCGCCTGCTCGTATGTGAGGCGCAGTGTCTTCACGTCAAACGGAGAAACATTTGATGTCGTCGGGGCCGGACTGTTCACTCTCGTGAGATTGGTTGGCGAGAGCTGACCAAATCGATCTGGACATGACAGTCGCGGGAGATCGTCTTGTTGGGTATCCTCGTATCGCGTGAGCCGAGGACCCCGTGGGAAATTTTGCTGCGGTGGTGGTAGGTCAGGTGGTAGACGTTCACCATGACTGCCCCGACCAGACGAAGAATAGCCGTTCCTCGACATGATGGTGATGAACGTGATATCGTGCTGCGGTCACGAAGGTCAGCCACGCAGGCTGGTGTTTGTTGTTCTGGCTGCGGTGTAGGCAAGGACCTAACTTCGCGGACTTCAAAGTGAGCTGCACATGTCAGGACCGACGGCTTCTCTGAAGATGCAACTCTTAATACGAGAACTGAACCTGAACGCCCTGCTAACGACTATGCCTGACCACAAGAGCGTTCCTTCCATGCTGAACACACCTAGAACCACGCTTCATCACACTTTCCTCATCGAGGACTTTCTGCACGACCTGTACCGACCCGCGATTTGCATGCCATATCTTCCAGTTTCAGACATTAGATTTCATACTTTGCATCGCTGACAACGGCCTTGCCCAGGCTTCCGTTCAGCGAGCCGCACGAGGAACGACATTGTCTTCAAGGAGGAGACTGCCAGTTGACTCATCACGCTATAGCGAGGGTTTCACTTCTTCCCGCCCTTCTTTTTTCCTTTCATGCTCCCTTGAGCACCCTGAGGACCGCCAGCCTCTACAAGTACAGGCGCATCTTCGTCGCTGCTTCCTTGCGGGATCTGGGTCTTGGCAGTGGCAGCTTCATCCTCATCGAGTTCCTTCAAGAAGTTGGCCTTGATTCCCGTCCTTCGCTTCTCCCACCAATCCTTCTCCGCTTGTGTCGTGGCTTGCAATTCAGCGATTCGTTCCTTGAGTATGCGGTTCTGATTCATCTCGTTCGCAGATTGAAAGATGATCTGGCCCCAGTTGGGCGCAAAAGCGTTAGCCTGGAGATAACGGTTAGCCGGGCATGATCAATTCACAGCGGTGCGACAGGAATCGGATACCTCATTGACCACATCCTTGACTTCCTCCTCCATCTCCCTCTCTGCCCTCAGAAATCTCTGCCATAGTTCGTCGCCCACGCTCCCTCTCTGCAGAAGCGTTTGCAACGCAGGCTTACTCGATCTTAATTGCACGATCCTCTGAATGTCTTCCACAGCTCTCTGCAAGAGCGCCGCTTTCAGCACATTGTCGGGCACTGATTTCAGCTTCTTCTCGTCTTCGCCAGCATCCTCACTCGGATCTAGATGCAGTAGCGACAAGTAAATGTCGCGTTGGCGGTGGGGTGGGAACCACGACTCCAGGCGTGCGGCTTTGGATATTTGGCGTTTGCGGTAGAGTGAGGAAAATGTGGACAGCGAACCAACAAGGATTGTAATGTAGAGGATGGGCCATAGCAGTCCAAGCCAAAAGTTGGGAGGCGTAGGAGGGGTGAAGTCGCTGTTCGTGCCGTTAAATGTCCCGTTGAATGTGCCATTTGTGGAGGAGTTGAAGGTGGAGTTGGTGTCGGCCATAGTGGATGGGGAGGGCGTTCAGCCTGTTAACCCGACGATCGGTGGTACTGATGCTGTTGTTGTTGTTGGTGGTGGTGGTGGTGGTGGTGGCAGTGGTGGTATTGTTGTCAAGAGAAGGCTCACATGTGAAGAGTAACCGTGTGTCGTGTTACAAGTGAGGCAAGCTGTCTTTCGAGAATACGCCGGTCGGGACGGCCCTGCTTCTGGTTTCTTCCGGAAGAGGACATGACGGAAGCCCAAAGTGGCCAGCCGCTACACGTCACCCCCGGCTTTCTTTGGCTTCATCTTCCTACTACTTCTACCCTTCTACCTACTATACACCACTATATACACTCGCTATACGCTCGCCGCCTACCTCGCCGTTACCGCCGTATCCGTCGCTACCTTACCTCTCTCTTTGTCGCCGGATCCGTCGTCTTAATAATAAGTTACCTATATAACAAAGCCGTCGCTATAGCAACTTAAAGAAAGAATCTACTACTATAATACGTCTACTCTCTCTCCTCTACTACCGTAGACGTAGATAACTATATTATTCGAACCTTAGTACGTTATTGCGTAGCGCGTAAACTCGTACGTTACTAATATACTATAGATTCCTCGTATCTACTACTTTAGTAGCGCTCGGTAGGAATATATCTACGATAAATAACAGCGACGCTATAGACGAGGATACCGATACCGAGGATACCTCGGAGGATAAGGAGGAGGATAAGGAGGACGATACTAGGTAGGCTAGCTTTACTCGCTACTAAATCTCTACTAGAATCTCTACTAACTTACTATATATAGGGCCGTATACACCCCCGATCTATACCTACGCCGGCCTACTACTATAGACTCTAGCAACTTCTAGTTCTGCTTAGTCGAAAGATAGTAGGGCTAGTTAGACGAGGCCGTAGGCGACGACGCGACGAAGAAGAAGGTCGCGAAAAATAACCTATAGAAGTTCGACTAAGCTAGCCGAATTATAGAGACTATAGAGAGTATTAATACGCTAGATCCGTATTACTAGTATACTCGCGGTCCGTACGACGCGCCGTATAAGGTAGACGCAAAGAATAGTATTATCTACGCCTACTATAAGCGATATACTAAGTTAGGCTATTAGGCCGGGATACCCGTTAACCATTCCCCTTAACGATTCCCCTAGCGATTCGTAGCGAATCGCCTAGCTAAAGGCTACTATTAAAGCGCTATAGGCTACGGTCGATAGCCTATAGGCTACGGTAGGGACTGTTTAAGATAGGACGGGCAAATTAGAGAATTAGGTAGAGTAGCTTATACTATATATCGACGAGCTCCGGCGTATAGTCTATAATATAGCTATAGCGGTATAGCCGTAGGGTAGAGTATCGATACCGGAATCGACTACGATTCCGTATACGAATAATTAGTAGATAGGCATATATATACCTACCTATTTATATATATAGTAGCAATATACCGTAGCGAGTATAGCGAGTTAGGTAGGCTACGCGCGATCTATAGCGTTTCTATAGCGAGTTAGCGAATATAAGCTAGCGCTAGGCATATCCGACTAATCGGATCGTCCGCCGACCCTACGCAAACTCTGTAATATAGGTATACCGTCGTAGATATAAGTCGATAGTAGTAGATAGCTATAAAAATTAGTCTTTTCTACTTGTATCTATACTCTATATAAGTAATACCGGGCGGCGCCGGCGGTAGTAATAGCAACCGCCGTAGTATTAGGCCCCGGGGGCCCTACGGGCTTATATCTATCGATACTAACAGCGAGCGCGGCGATTTATTTATTTCTTGCTTAGCGCTCTAGTTATTACCCTCTCTCCGATTAGAACCGCTAGCTTGTATCGCTTAGCCGTAGGCATAGCGGTAGTACTACTCGTCGCGCTCGCTACTAGTATCGCCGTACCGGTAGTACTACTCGTCGCGCTCGCTACTAGCGTCGCTTCTAAGTCGACGAACTTAGATAGCTTGCGGGCGTTAGTTACGCTCTCTATCTATAATACCTTCTCTTTCTTAATATAAGCGTTATCTATATCGGTATTACTATCGATTTCGACAAACTGTAAAAGGATAAGATATATAGGCTAAAGTATCTAATAGAAATGTACTACTCGAATCGCTTAGGAGAAGAGTAGGAATGCGTCTTCTCCCTCTGTTTATAAGTATATCTTCGGAGTACCTAGAGGTTCTAGCCTCTCGGGTCTAATTTAGAATATCTCGATCTGAGATCTCCTATTCTAACTCTCTATAAACTATCTTAACTCGGTATCGGCGGTAAAGGTCTGGCCTAAACCCTCTTAAGTCGTAGTAGCCCGTTCTAGCCTATCTTAGGTACTCCCGGGCTATTCCGGGTCTGTCTTAAGATATCTATATCGCTGTCTAGTCTAGATTCTAATATTGCCCCTCTCCGTTTTTGCAGTTGTCCTCGACTATATAGGCCTCTGTTTTTTTTCTTTATTCTTAGGACAATAAGGCATTAAGTAAATAAACCTATAGAAAGTAATAGATCGTATTCGTCCGCCCTAGAATCTAATAGAGCCTTTTCCGGCGAATGCCTTCTTTTAGTATAGAAAAGGGCGTCTTTTCCTAACAATTTTCTCCTTCCTTATACTAATATTACCGCTTTCCTAAAATTTTGTAAGTAAACTATTTTTCCTACCCCCTGTCTTAATAACTCCTTCTAGGGTAACCGGGGCTTTCCGGCCTATTCTAGAGTATTCTTAGCTAATTTGAATAGTAGTATACCTATCTAATTCGTCCTGCTATAGCTACCGCCTTACTATCTAACGGTAATCTATACGTTAATTATATTAGCGTCCTTAGCTTAGCATCGGACGCCGAGGTCGTCGATACCCTTCGGTACCTCTACCTATTTCCCTACCCCTTTATAGGGACCGGTTAGACGGACCTTAATAATACCCTCTATAGTCTTTAAAATACTAGTCCCGTATCTTACTAGAAGTATACTACCTAGTCTAGCTACTACTTCTAGGTATCGTTCCGGCCTATTCTAGGGCGTCTTAGCCTAGACCGGTCCTAACCTTTCTATAGGTACCTACGGTATTCCGAGGCAGTATCG